TTTTTATTATTATTTTTAAAATATTATTGTTATTATTATTATTATTATCGTCATCATCATCGTCATCATTATTGTTATTATTATTATTATTATTAGTATTATTAGTATTATTATTATACACACTTAATACACAATCACAACGCAGAGTATTGAGATAAGTTATGTAATGCTTTATTCTTCATTTATTTTATTTCATTTTCATATTCATCATATATCATCTAAACTCTTATTTACGTTTTAATTAATAAAACTGTTTTTTTTTTTTTTTTTTTTATTTAAAATAACAACAACTGTATTTTTATATTGAAAAAACTTTAAGCAATTCGAATATTTTGGCAAATTTTATAAAAAACTTTTTATTTGTTTATTTTATATTTTCTTTAGATTCCAATCAAAAAAAATAAATAAATAAATAAATAAATAAATATACAAATTCTCTATAACTTTATATTAGAGGAAAATACTTTCAAAACTGTAATAAGCTGTTTAGCTGGAATAGCTCTTTGAGGGCTATGAGGGGAGGAGGGCTTAACAAAAACCATAGTCTACAGTATAGATAACGATCTAGAAGTCACATTGTTTACAAAATCTATATGCATAATCGTTCTTTTAGAGAGCAACTTCCAAAAACTTCACCTTCAACTTTAAAAGTGAAAAGCTTTTCCCATTATAATTCCAATTGGAATCTAATTGTTATTCGTTACAATAAATTATTTTGTTACCAATTGCAAATGACGCAACTGGGTGACGCTTGAATTTTCTCCCACTTCCGACGAACCATAACATAGTTTAAGAAATATTTAAACATTTCTAAAAAAAATATTTAATTAAATTTTTAAATGATGTCTTCAGTTTGATTATTATTCGCACTAAGACCGCAAATCTAAAATGAATAATTGTTTCTACAAAGGCCAGAAGACAAATTTCCTATTTTTACACCTTACAGCACTTCTGATAAAAGGGTGTATTAAATTCATGCGAGTCATCTATGTTGACTTTAAAACACTTTCGGAATCGGTTTAAACTTGCATTGCCACTTGTCTGTCTTTCTGTACAGTTTGAGATGTATTGCTGAAATTTGGTAAAACGACCTGTTTTGGCGCAAGAAAGAACGCCATTGAAAATGGTTTGGCTTGGATCACATTCTCGGCCGCGTCGAAAGAGATGCTTTTTTTTCATTGGCTGTTGCAATGACGTCATCTCTTAAGATTATTTTTGAAAACACGAAGTAAAGGAAGTTTCTTAGTTTTATCTCAATGTTTGCGACATTTACAATGATATTATTAGAGAGAGACAGAGAGAGAGAGAGAGAGAGAGAGAGAGAGAGAGAGAGAGAGAGATAGAGAGAGTGATGAATAATGGACGGAAAGATGAATATCCCCATGCTCCGGTTACAGATTTAAAAATAATAAATACGTAAGCAGATGTGGCAAACAATTAATAATAATAGTAGTCGCAATATTACAAACATTAAATTGTGATTGTATATGATGTAATTAAAATTGATTGAAAATAAAACTTTTTTATGAAAAAGAAAATACAATAATAATAATAATAACAGAGATAAACAGCTAAAATGCAGTTTAATTAGTTAGAAACTGTACGTATTTATTTTTTTTATTTTTAAATATCAATATATTTAACTTAGTAGAAAACAATAACGAGAGAAAAGTAAAATAACGCAAAAGCATGCAATAATTATTTTTATCTATTGATAAAATTAAATCTTAAAAGAAAAAAATAGTGGAAATTTAACTTTAAAAAGACAAACAACATCATTATTGACATAGATACACTTAACATTTACAAGAAGTAACAACAAGACTTAAATTTTATTTTTATATTAATTATCATTATTATGATGATTATTATTATTATTATTATTATAATTCTTGTTATGCATTATGCTTAGGTTTTTCATTACTAATCTATTTAAAAAGAAGTGGTATTATCTCAAATAAAATTTATTAATTATTTTTTGATTATTATTTTAATTGTAATTGGGACGCGTATTGTGTGTCATCTAAAAAAAAAAAAAAAAAAAACAAATAAAGAAGAAGAACAAGAAGAAGGCTATACTTCACGACTATAAAATCTTTCATGGCAATTAAGAAAGAATGTAACAAAAAAATTTTCTAAAATGTTTTCATTTTGTATTTCAAATATTATATAATTAAATTTGAAATATTAACTTCATTCTAATTAGCTTTTTATCAACTTTTTACTTTTTTTCACTTTATATAATTATAGAATGAGCAAGAGTTTGTTTGTTTTACAATACAACCATAGAAATTGCTAATAGTTTTTTTTTTACACTTTTATAGGTGTGTAGGTAGTTTTTCTTTTCTTTTTTTTTTTAAAGATAACATATTTGGATTTCTTTGCTTGTAATAAAAAAAAAACAAAAAATTGATTCTAATTAATTTCAGGATTATTTACTCTAAGTGCATGCAAATAAAAAAAAAAAATTTTTTTTTCCTTAATTTAATAATGCGAATGAAATATGTGTGCATGTATAATGTATGCCTACCGCTTTGGTCGCTTTGATCGCGATGGCATAAGTGAAAAAGATTAAAATGATAGAAAAGTTTTCAAGCCATAGTTCAATTAGCGACACTTTTACTTTAGTCAATGTGTGCGCATGGACTAGGCGTGGCTTTTATGTCCAAATTAAGGAAAATTTATAGAACTTTAGTGGTTATAGGCGATCAGATTAACTAGTATGATTCAAATAATTAACTGCGTATGATGAATAAATATGTCATGATCCGACCATCGGTCCTTATCAAATTTCCTAATAAAATTTTATCATTTGCCATAATAATGTATTTGAGAAAATATTTTTGTCATTTTGTCCAGTCATTACATTACAACTTAATTCCACATTACACGTACTTTGTGTTTGACGAGTATCGCTAAAGAGGTCGACACAATTAATTGGTAAAAAATTTAAGCTGACAATATGTTTACAATCTAAGGACTTATCTAATGATAAATTTGATTTGTCATGTTCGAGATTTTCATCTTAATTTTTCGGAAATAGATAACGCCAATCATATAGACAAGTGAAGCAAGACACGAATAGACGGACACAGTAAATTGACCCCAATATCTCTTACGCTAATGCGGCACGTAACTCCAAATAGTAAAATTTAATATTAAACCATCCCTTCTAAAATGATATTTTCACATAGAAAGAAAGTCTTACAACATAACTTCTCTTAATTATATAAACCAATAGATTTTACGAAGAAAGCAGATGCAATTTAAAAAGACAGACACACACATACATCATATTACCTTGAAGAAGAAGGAATATACAGTCAAGTTGATAATGAAAGATTTTCAACTGGCTACTGTCAGTTTTGTGATTTGTAGATCAAAAATGCTGAAAAGGAATTTAAAGCACAAGGGGCACAAGGGGCATAAGGGGGGGAAAAAAAACGAAAAAAATTACATTTGAAAATATTTACTGAGACACTTTTCGTTTCAAGATAAAGCAAAAAGAAGAAGAAAAAAAAATGACAAAAGGATATCAAGCTACATAGCCACGGTAAGCATACGATTAACTTACACTTTTTGCATCTATATTACGTATAAATTGTGTAAAATTGTCGATCGATTTATTTTGCTATGCATTTTGGTAAGGGAAAACCTGAATGTACTTGTGTTGTGTTAAGTGTCAATATAATAAATAATTTTTAATGTTATTATGTTGAAAACATTTTCTTTTTTTTTTTTCCGCCTATTAAACGATTTTATTATAATAATAAATAATGAGCTTACAACAAATACAAAGATACATACATATATACCTTTTGAAGTATTTGGGATGAAAAATATGTAAGAGATTATGAAATTTATATTTATATCAGAGCGTCTTAGTGAATACGTTGGATTTGTATTTAAGGCTAAGTGTCTTTTTCGGCATATGGTACATTATGATTATTTTTAATTATCTAAAATCTAAAATAACAGAAAAATAAACAACAAATCGTAATGATTTCTTATATGAGAAAAACATAAAATGGAAAAAAAAAAAAAAATGAAAAAAATTATTTAAATCTTGAACAAATATGTATGTATGTAAAGTTGTGATTTTAACATTTAAACTGAATAAAAGCTTGAATCCAAACAACAGATTAGGTAACAAGGCAATGTACATGTAACTTATAATAAATGTTTACGTTTTTATCCTAATTATAATTATTATAATTATTGAAATTCATTCATTTAAGTGTACGTACTCGCATGTATAGTTGCTAGAGTTTATAACAATTTTTTTTTATTTAATTATGAGTAAGTATAATATCATATATTTTTTTTTTTTTTACATTTCTACTTATGCATTTCTTCTTGTTTTTTTTTTTTTATTATTATTTTATTACCTTTCTATTCAATGATTAGTTTTTCTGTTTTTCTGTTTTTTTTTTTTGTTATTATTTATTTTTGATTTATTTATTTAATCTCACTCTTTATCATTTTTGTATTGAAAAATATATAGAGCCTTTTTCTATCTTTGAATTTCCTTTGATTATAATTTTTAATTAAAATTAATAACAATGACTAGATTCTGTTTAATTATTTTAAAAGAGTTTTTTGCTTTTTTTTGTTTGTTTGTTTTTTTTTTTATTATTATTTTGTTTATTGTTATAAACAGTTCATAATAAAAACAGTTGCAACGTTTTCATCAAACGATTTCATAAATTGTGTAAAAATTTCAATTTATAATAAGGATAGAAATTATTTCAAATAGTTCGATCTCGACTAACAACTCATAATGGTCGTTCGTATTCAAATCACGAGTGCGTTCAAGTTTTCAATAAAGCCGATAGCCTCAGTAGCTATGCTAGTGCTTTAAGACTTCAACCTTTAAATTTATGTCTTTGATTAAATCAATTATATAATAATACTTTGATAACTATTATGACATATGCTATGTAGGAGAGATTTCGGACGCTCTAAGTGATTTCAATCGAGTTCAAATAAATAATAGAGCTTTTTTCCAAAACAGTAATCATGTGATATTAATTGTTACAAGCGCAAGTAAAATTATTTTATATTGAACGTGTTATGGATAGGAACCATTCAGAGACTCATAATTGCTTTACAAGAAGCCTTAATAGGGCAAAAAAAAAAAAAAAAAACAAATATTCAATATAAAGGAAGAGAAATTTTTATATTTCCTAATGTTGGGTGAGCGCGGCTCGAAAGCAAATATGTTCACAGCTTTTGCTTTTGCATAGGTGTGTGGACATTGCAGGCGTATCCTTTGGCCTCCTTTGATTTATTTAGTTGAAACTCTTTTGCAAATTGCACGGATATTAAATAGCTGTGCAGACGGATAGACAGGTAGACAAACAGACAGACATGCTTTGGGACGTGCATTTCGCATTTGAAATTGGCCAAGAATTTATCTTCTTTACGTGGTTTCTGAAGCTTTCTTTTTTGAAAATATAATACTGGGTAGGCGTGCTCAGCGTCTATTATATTATTGTACAGGCACGACAGCATCGTCCAGAGAATATACGTTTGTACATTTATCTGTTCTAGTTTATAAGTAATGAGCAAAAAACACGGTAATTGAAATTGTTCTCACTTTACGTGACACTCTGGACGTATACTTCGACCATCCATCTTCAATGCCCACTTGCGTGCGGGTTGAAACTGATGGTTTCGTTTTTGAGGCTGGGACAATAAACAGATATAACGCAGACCGACAAGTGGATAGATGGACATGTTTAAATCGGTTCAGAATTTAGTGCTAATGAAGAATACCCATACTTTGTGACATGTCTAACATTGCCTTCTGAGCTTTGCGAGCAAAATGAATCACAAAATGAATCACTCTTCGGTACGATGGGTATACAAAACGCAGCTTATGAATATGTAACCGATGAATTAACATCATTTCAAGGTCAAATTTTTATTCGCAATAAATTCCTGTCATAGATCGTTCATTTGCGTTTAAGAAGTTAGAATCTATTATTTATTATTAGAGTGTTTATGAACGAACTATATTCAATGCAAGATGATCGGTAGCCAATTAAAAATAAATATAAAAAAATATTAAAATTTCTTGTTTAATATTTAATAATAACAAATAGCAGGATGGACGGACATATAAACATGATTAACATTTCAAAAGGCCTAAACTGATCAAGAATTTATATACTTCGATGTTGAGTGATGCTAGAAGCAATATTTAATGTTGACCTTTAGAAAAAAAGAAAAACCAAAGAAAAAAAAAAAAAACCGATTCATACCGATGTCGTATTCTTGCATCGCGACCAATCGCTGTGACTGTGCTGCCTATTTATAGTGAATGTGACTTTGCATCAGACTTGAGGTTCCGGACCAACAATCAATATCAAGTCGGTTACGAAACAAAGTTGCCAAGCCAAAAAGAAAGAACAAAAAATGCCTATGAAGAGTCTTGCGGCTTGTGAGGATGTCCAGAATACGGCTACTCGATTTTTCGCAGGTCATATGCTCTTATATTAGAACAGTGAGAAAACAAATTGCAATTGTTTTATCGTGAACTGTTTAAGTGCGTAGAAGTTCAACATAAAATCTTTTCTAATACTTGAAAATGAAGACAAATTTAATCAATACTTGGGTGGCGTACTTAAAAAATCGGTGTTTTTGTGTGCTTGTGTGTTTAATGTTTTCTCTTATAGTTTAGGTAAATCAAAACGTTTGAGATGAATAGCAATTTGCCAATAAATTACTTATGTCTTCATTAACTTTAGCATTTCTGAAAACTATATAACTAACACTAACTCTCTTTGCTTGTTGTTTGTTATTCAATCAAATTGCTTGAAATCAAAGTGTTTTGAAAATTACCTTTCTGAAGTTATCAATAATTTTACGAATGCAAATAATTTTTTTTTTTTTTTTTTTTTTTTTTTTGTTATACATATAATGGTTTTTAGTGATTATTAGCTTGTTGTTGTTGTTGTTGTTGTTGATGTGTTTGATTTTGATTAGCATTTTGTACAGTTGTTTCATTCTCCGGTACACGATGGGTCTTCATATGAGCGCTACGACTTTTGATTTTATTAAATACTCTGCAAACAAACAATCATTTTTTTTGTTGTTTTTTTTTTTTTGTTTTTTGAGCAAAAAGAAGAAGAAAAATAAACAAAGAAAATTTTAATATTGTTGAGCCATCATTTTAATTAACAATTTAAATTGAAATGAATGCACATATATTTAAAAGTAAATTGCTTAATAATAATAATTAAATATTTAAAAGCTTTTATTAACATAAGGCCGGTTAGCATGCTTAAAGAACTTGGCCATTATTAGCAGCTATTTCTTACATAGTGTGTGTATATTGCAAATATACACACATACATACACACATACATACACATAAATAAAATGTGATAAAAAAGAAGAATTAATTACTTATCTTTTGGCTGTGTGTGTTAAAGATGCAGAAATAGATCACAGAGTATTATGGAGATAGAGAAACAGTGGGGGAGATTGACGAGGAAATGATTATAAAAAAGACACATAAACTTAAAAAGGAAAAATTAAGTTAAACAATAAAAAAACTGAATATTTTTGAAAGAAAGCAAAAGAGAAATTCGTAGGAATATTAAAAATTTAGTATTTACTGAAACGATCAAAGTAGGTGCGCTCTTGCTTCCGTTGCATTTATAGATAGATAGGCTTCATAGAATCTTAGAATCACTTGCTTGAGAATGTCAATGTTATCTCTTACTTCATTTATTTCAATAGAATATCGAGCCAAACTCGAGAGATAATCAGAGAGATTGTTATGTGTTATTGTAACTTTTGATCTCTGGACTAAATTTATATTTGTCAAGGAATATCGGTTACAATCATTTTTACATTTTCCTATAGATGCCTAAAAATATATTCCTATTATTCTCTTTTTAAATAAATATATATTACACAGGGCCAGGGTTCGTCAGATAATTGCCAACATATTTACATATACAATTCAATAGTGTTGTGTGTGTGTGTGTAACTGAGATAAAATATTCCATATCTCAGTTTCGTATTTTCATTTGTAAAATTTTAAAATTTTCAGACTGACTTATGGCATATGAAACAAGGCTGTTGCGCTGATCAAGAATGTACGTGTATTCCGTGAAAAGATTTCTGTGCACTTTTCATCCATTAGTTGATTAAACGAAAATGGGAAACTTAATTAGCGATTGTCACCTTATTCTGGCCACCCACCTCTAAAATGGGAGATACGTTGGCTCGCAGTTATTATTTAATCAATATATTCTTAGGTTCAAAAGTTTCTTTAGAAATAACTGCACACATATATGTATTTATTTAGTGAAATTTGTTTACGGACAAGATTCATCCAAGGCAGAGCCATTGTTTTCCAAATACTGTAAGGTTGACATGTCACGCAGACGACGAACGAAGAAGTCTTTCATTTAGTGTAGATCTTACAGTTAAAATGTTGTATTGAAGCTAACAATTTTTAAAAATTAGAAAAAGTGTTCAGCTTTAAAGGATATATAAGAGAGACAATTAAGAAAAAATGGTGGAAAAACGCTTTAATTAATAAAAAAGAAAGTACAAAAAAAAGTTAATGTAACGGAAAAAAGAAAAACATGACTTACAATCAATGTACTCATATATCCACGCTCATGATGACGGTACAACAGAGAGAGCAACGTTCAACTATATGGACTAGAGAGCAGTACGAAGAGGCTTTTGTTTTTCATATTTTGATAACTTTCGCAAGATTTTTAGTTTTCATTTCTCAATCGAATTTTTTTTAATTAAAAATTCTTTGTATTTGTGACTCTTCGCTTTATAGTAAATTAAATTTTGTTTTATTTGTTTTTTTTTTTTTTTTTTTTTTTTTTTTTGTATGAATTATTTCGCATGTCAATATAACATAAGTAAAATACAACAACAAACAACGACATTAGATTATTATTGTGAAAAACTATAATCATATTCGAAATGTAAGTACACTGAGGATGATAGGTACGGACACAAATGGAACTATATATAGCGTTAAACTAAAACTAAAAACTTCAAATGAAAGAAAGCAAAAAAAACAAAAAAAAAAAATATTTCAACTGGGCGAAGAAAGAAAAACCCAGACGAAAACAAAAAAAAAAAAAAACAAAAAAAAAACAAATTAAAAAAAAGCATGATTTCTGATCATGCGTAATTGAACCGAGAAAAAAAATTGTCTAAATTATCATTTTCAAAACTAAAAGCACGTGCTAGTTGTTTCTTTTACTGTACGACTCGAAAGGAAAAACGTAAACACAAATTTAAATGAAAAATGTTCGCTTTCGTTTTTCATTTGGCGGTTAAATTCAAATTGGTTAATTAATTAATTAAATCAATCAATCAATCAATCAATCAATTAATCAATGTATATATAGTGATGAAAAATATTTGGGGAATCTTACTTGCCGCACACCTTGCAGGGGAAATCGTTGTTGATATCTTTGGTATTGGTTGCAGTGGTGTTATCTTTATTTACTAAATTTACTGAGTGACTAAGTGCCTGAGATGAGGCGGTACATGCACTAGTTGAACTGATCGAGCCGGGTAAGGAGTTGTTAGCGTTTGGATTAGTGGCACTGTGATTATTATTGTGGCTATTGCGACCATAGGTATGTATGCGAGTATGGCCATGCAGAGCAGCTTTTGAAGAGAAGCTCTGCAATTTCGTTATTTATTTTTGTTTTTTTTTTTTTTTTTTTGTTTTTATTTTTTTCCATTTATTTATTTATTTAGATATTTTATATAAATCATATTGAAAATGAATGGTAACAAGACAATTGAACAGTTGACAGTATTCTTAACTTACCGCTGAGCAATCAGGTTGTTCACATACGTATGGTTTCACTTCATTGCTGTGATTAACTGGCGGTGTTTCAGTTTTTAGGTGGGTCACCTTGTAATCTACACACAGCTTCTTCCAAAAATAATAGATTTGTATACATTCTCCAGTTGTTTTCGAACCGAGCTGTTGCGAAATATTATATTTATTAAATAATGAAACATACTTTCTCTCTCTCTCTCTATCTCTCTCTCTCTCTCTCTGTCTCTCTTTCTCTTTGCTTACCTCTTTAGAAATTTTGCTAAATTCCTTGCCATATTTCTCCAATCCCTTTAGGAAAGTTTCCAATTCTTGGGCGGACCATTTCATTTGGAATGGATTTGACTGGGTTTGTAGTAAAGTTAAAACTGCTGAAGCGGTATTACCATGGGATTTAAGCAGTGTCTTTAATGCTATTTCTTCTGTATGACTGCCCGAAGGCGTCGCCGATGATTTGCTGAGATCTATAAAACGCATCAATATATTTTCATCTCTTTGAATGTCCGGATTCCACATGAGTTCCGCTTTTACGGGCTCATCGATTGCCGTTAATGTGGATCGCTCTTTAAAAATTGGTATGGCAGCTTGATAGGCCGATCCTAAATTAACTTTAGACACATCGGAGAAATCGACTAAGCCCACTGAGTCTTCGAAATCATCGTCGAAGGCATCAAATGCTGAAAGATTCGTATTCGATTCCTTAAGAATGTTGCAATACAAACCGTGACCTTTGCGCGCAGGATTTAAAATTGGAGCAGGTGTATAATGAGTCCTTGAGGGTTTCCTTAATTTAGATCGGTACGGTGATAAAGTTTGGAACTTTAACTGATAACCAGATGAGCCCGAATCCGAGGAATTATAACCTCTTAGACGTCTTTTTAATATGGAATTAGTTTGATTGGATAATGGCTGTAGAATGGTAGTCAACACTGACGTGCTATTCGTCGCATTTGACGTTTGACAATACTGTGGCGTTTGTTGTTGCTGTTCATTGGATGCGATTTGTCCATAATAAATATTAGAATTATTTAAGACATCAGTAATTTGCAACCGTTGTTGTTGGGTCTCTTGTTGCCTTTGCTCAATATTTAAATTAAGGCGATTATTAATTTGCGTTGGCATTAATTTCATTTCTGATCTTTCGGTGGTTCCTGTGTAAACAAGGGGCTGCGTTAAGGCCTCATTTAACTGCGCTGTTATTGTTCTATTGCTACTGCTGCTATTGCTAGCTTGTGTATGTGATTGATTGGCGGAGTCAATATATTGCTGGGTATTTGTTGGAATTTGTACTTGCGGTGTATTTTGAAAATTGTACTGCATGATAGAGGCCGTATTGCCACAACCATTGGCCGGTACTGTTACAATAACCTGATTAATCTCTGAAGGCATTTGTTGCGTTTGCAGTGGCTGCATCTTTAATACGCCTTGCTGCTGTTGTGATGGTTGCTGTTGTTGCTGTTGTTGCTGCTGCTGCTGCTGCTGTTGTTGTTGTTGTAGTTGTACTGAAATCGCGGCATTATTACTCTGCAGGTAGGGATTCTGGCTTGTACTGGTCGAGGCATTTGAATTTAGATTTGATTGTTGTTGGTGAGGAATGTGTTGACTTGTATTATTTGCCGTTTGAGTCAATTTCTGTTGACCAAAATCACGAGGTGACGATGACAGCAACGGATCTTCCGAATTTGGCATCATTTGCGATTGCAAACTTAAGCATGGCAAGTAATACAAGTCGATTATATTCTCTGATTGACTTTCGCAATTAATTTGTATTTGATCTTCGGTTAAGACCTCACGTAATACTTCTTTTACCTCTTCTACTGAACCTATGCCACCGTTAAAGAAAGACTCTGACAATGGAGATGCAGCGTTGCCCGAATCATTTAGAAATTCTTGTTCCTCATCTAGAAATGAAAGATTGGCTTCGGCGAATTCTCTTAAATCACGTTCCGCATCCGTATTGGTATCACTAAGTAAATCCTCCATCTTAATATTATTATTATCGAAATTATTATCTCCCATAATATTTCCTAATTTTGTTATTTTTTCATTCTCCATTTCTCCATTTGCACATGTTGAAGCGTTACTTATTAACGATTCACTAAAAAAGACATTCGATGTTTCGCCATACTGTTGATTATCGTCTACGTAGGGAGAAGTTTGTGTAACATTTTCATGGCTGGAGGGAGGAGTCGGATAGGCTAACGGAGAATGCAAAGGTGAATTCAGCCTCCCGTAAAGTTGTTTCCGTTCAACTAATGGCATGGACAAGGAATTTAAATTTCCATTGGATTGAGTTAAAGGATTCATTAGTAGTTCTTTGGAATGGAAATGTTGAAAATTCGGCAAAATTTGTTGTTGTTGCTTACATTCTGAGCCATTATTAATATCCGTTGGACAAGCGGGCTGCAACACTTGACCATTATTATCTATAATTTCATATTGTTCGGAATGTTCAGAAGATTTGAGCAGGTTTTCATGATTGGAATCATTCAACAATTGCATTGTGTCTACTGTTTGCAATAGCATTTCGGCCTCGCTGACATTGTAAACCTCAGTTTCTTCAAACAAATTCGAATTGTCACTAGCATAGGTGACAGTGTACACTTCTGCATTGACATCTCCATTCTGCGATAAGGTCAAGGACAATGGGGAATTTTGCGCTAACGATATACCACTGGATTCTGGGCAATTGTTTAATGAATTCTCGATTTCTTGTTGGGTTGTAGTTGCCAGCTTAACCTTGTTATTAATAACTTGTACATCGGAGGGTATAAGTACGGCCCTTGAAGGAGAATTTGTTGTTGTGGCGGTGTTAACAATTTGACGCGTCACGCCACCCAATGGTGCGTTTGATGCTTGCTTGGACGTGACAGCGATACGTGTTCCTCTCTTTAATAATTCAATTAAAGTGGAATCTTTTGGATCAGTTGATGTGCTGCGGGTTGTCGTTCCTGTAGAAGTCGTTGTGTTCAACGTCGTTGTTCCTGGTTTTTCTGTCGTTGTCACTGAATTGCATTCACTATTCAGCTGAGTGAGATTCGTGCCCACTCCCACGCTCACATTATTCATTGGTTTTTGTTGTTTGGTACTGAAAATTTCAATACTCTGAGGTAAACCCATATCCTGGGCATTGAGCATAGTTCTATTATTATTTTTAAAAGCGACTGATGGGGTAGGCATCGTATTTAGATTCGATGTTATGCAACTACCAGAACTTGTCTGACTTTTAGAGCTTAGGAAATTTTCCAAATCGCTAATTGATCTCCGCAAGATCGGATTATTGGCTAAATTATTGGCAGGCGGAGCAGGTACGGCAAAAGAACCCTAGATTACGGCATGAATAGTGTGAGATCGAATTATATATTATTATATTTTTGTAGAAAAACTTACCTTATTTATATCTCTACTTCGCTTGTTAATAATTTTCTCTTCGATTAGGGCTCGAACACCAATACTAGCTGTTTGCAAAGGCGGACCATTATTCTCCTTTTTTTCGCTTTTTTTAGTCTCGGGATCTTTTTTAAAATAACCGCCATGCAAACGCATGTGACCGTTTAAAGCTGGCGTATTCTTAAATTTGCGATGGCATAAATTACATTCCACTGGCTTCTGATCAATTTTAACTACATTTAATAAGGAAGAGGAATTCAAGCCGGAAGTTAAATCGATTTTGACTTCCTCCTCCTTAGCGTCCATGGCCAATAGTGGTGAATCTATATTGCGAGTTATTGCATCATTGGACACCTCATCCACGGTAATGGCCAAGTTCTGAGTAGTGTTTAGCTGCAATTCGCGAATTCATAATAATTGTAGCAAAATTAAAATGATCATCTTTACAAACCAATTGCATATTCCAGGTTCGTGGTCTTGGATTCTGTGTTTGCGTCTGGGCCGGTGATGTGTCAATTTTATAGGATTGTGAACTGGAGTGTGAGGACACGGTTACCTGTGCTGTTGTTTGCTTAGTTTGACGCATAATTTTACTAATCAAATCTAATTGTTCGGGGGTTAGACCTTCGCCCTCCATATTGCCACCGCTATCTGTTAAAGTTATAGTGGCCGCAGTCGATGCCGACGCGATACTACTAGCCGACGACGAAGAAGAAGAAAGAGTAGAGGTGGGTGATAGCAATGTAACATTGGTCTTTAAAGCCTTCACCTCGTCTTCAGTTAAAGCTAAACCAGTTGACGCATCAACCACTGTACCGCCATTCGAAAGATACGTACCCAAACATGTTGCACCATCTGGTGAGCTTGCATCTCCTTAAAATCATACAAAAAAAAAAAATTGCTATCGAATTAATAGAAAGCTGTTTTGCTTACCGTTTGCGGTAGCTGGTGATAAACTTAAATTTGCTGATGAACAATTGACATTAATAGATGACAAGTTTTGATTTTGCGGGGTTATAACGCCAGCATGATGATTTTCGGTATGTCTACGCAGGGAACGTGCATCGCAATAAGATTTACCACAGCCCTCAGCTTTACATTCGTATGGTTTTTTATTTCTATGCGTCATCATGTGACCGTTTCTAAGAGAAGCGGAGTATATCTTATTAAACTTTACAAATTTTCACTTCCTGCGGTCTTAACAATCGAAATAGCAATAAAGATAGGAATAGATGTTTATATTGACTGCAGAGTGCCTCAAATGCCAGCAACAAATTAGGTAAACACTACGAAATTAATATATAATTGAGGTATCTTTGTAACGATCAGAGCTGGAGTGTGGCAATTAAACCCTTTCAAAAATGCATAGAACTACAGTTACATTTTCACGCGGTTTCTACGACTAAAATAAATACCATTTCTTTATCTATCGAAATATCTTATATTATTTATTGATTTATTCTAATTTCATAAATGCAGCAAAGATCCATCTGCTGACTTGCGCAATTCAGACAAGTAGAAAAGGTCGACGCACAATTACTCCAATCCAAGTGTCTCACCAAACTCCGTATTAGTTTATGTAAGAAATCGGCATTGGGGCGAGCATTGAGAAGAGTAATCTTAATGGAAGCAATAGGATCCGATAGACATTACATTATAAATCGTATTTAGATTGCTATAGAGAATCCTAAGTGGATTAAAAAACCCTTCAAGTTTAATGAAAAGAAAGTTCGTTGTGGGACAGACAGGAACGTTGAAATTAATTGTACTTAACAAAAATGGAGGATCATTGGCACCATTAATGAGCGTTAAAATGAAAGTAATGCCCAATACCATCCTACGTTTCTCAAGTAACGGCTGTAAGGACATAAGTAGCCACCTATTTTCAGAAGGAGAAAGTGAGGCACTTGGATTCCAACACAAATTTCTTACAAATAAAAAGCAAAAAATGCTTCTGCAAGAATTATATGGAATTCACACCAGCAACGTTACGACGTTGACCATACGATCGAGGCGTCAATTGGAGTCAATATAGGGCGCACTAAGCTGACCTATAGTCTTTTCGTCATATTTGGATCGTTAAACTGGCTCGACCAGCACTTGTCCAGCTTTATTGACAGGGTGTTCAACGTACCTAGATCCCGAAATGAATTCACGCAATCCAGCCTAAGTGAGTCTATAAAATATTCCATTGCGGATAAATTACGCCTCGAAAATGACAGCTTCTTACTTTTCTTTTAGGTTTAACTACAAAAAATTAAAGTAACATTAGCTTGGAGGCGAGATGGCTAAGTTCCCGAATTAAGAGGCAAGAAAAGTTTCACGTCGTCCGTGGACATTAGAGATCGTTGACGTACAGAATGAAAAAAAAACGATCTCTTATGTGACACTAATAGCTTGGGGTTAATTCTATCAAAGGCCTTGCTAAAAACAGCGTAACTAATATCCATCTAAATGCACAGCATTTGAAAAAGGCCTACATTATTACTGCTTACATATATATATATATGAAAATACTTAGATATATGCATACTTAGATGTGCACTGTTGGCATAAATTCGTGTATTCGAAACTTACAAATGATCCTGTCGTTTAAATGCTTTTGAGCACATAACACACACGTATTTCCGTTCGTCACTGTGCGTCAATTTATGTTTAGCCAGTGCTGATGCATTTCCAAATATTTTATTGCAAATCTATAAAAGAAAAGATAGATAAGTAAAAAGTTAAAATGAAAACTACATTCATAAAAGTGCTTTTATCGTAAGAATATTATTATAATCAAAGAGATTTGTTGTTTCTTTCATATAAAGACGTCCGATCTCTAGGTCAGTTTATTACTGCTAAAAAGCCGTTCGTATGTTCAATCAAATCCTACGAATACGAACTACTAACGCATATAAGATGTTTTGAAATTAAAAAAGTTTTTCTTATTTACTAGCAAACGTATTGCATGTACATCAACATTTCATAATTTCTTATATTGCGTACGTAAAATAAGTTTTTATGTTTTGTCGGTGAGTGTGTTTTGCTTAAGGTGCTTATAACAGCCTAAAATAGAAATTTCCACGAAAGTAATTGGTTTCAGGTTTCGTAGAAGACTTCAAAAAAAAAAAAATACAGTGTCAATCATCATATATGTTCTTGTAGATCTCCTTCGCTACAAACTTGCCTAATCTGACCTTATCGAAGGATGAGGGGTGTGTTCGTTTTGTCCAAACGTTTGCAACGTAGAAGTAAGCTTCAGAGATGCCATAAATTACACATATTCTCGATCAACATTAATTTCTAAATCGATTTAAGCATGTCCGTCTGTCCGTCTGACTGTGAGTTCGCCCGTGCAATGTCTCTTGTAAATATCCTCCTGGCCGCAAAAATGAAGTAATCGACTTTAAATTTGCGAAAAAACATTGGAAGCTCTTGCGTGCATCTATCGAAAATGTACCGAATCGGTTGAAGAACACCGATGTAGTACTATGTAGCAGCTCTGTTTTTCAAACGAAATAGAAAACTTGCTTTTTGCTTATTGCTTATAAACTACAGCAGATAAATCTGCAAAAATTTGAACATATACTCTACGGACGATGTTGTAGTACCTCTACAAAAATCGCCCACGCCCACTCAGTTTTATAGTGTGTCCTTTACATCTTGTAGAAACGCCCAGAGGCAAACTTGAAAACCCCCACGAAGTATATAAATTCTTGATTAGTTTCAAATTCGGAAAGAATGCTTCGGTTATGTACCATCTGTACGTCTGTCCAAGTGTGTAGTATCTATGGTAAACATTCTCCCATTCGCAAAAATAAAGTTATCGCCTAAGAATTTGCAAAAGGAGTTGAAAATGCCCCAAACCCATCAAAAAACGTGCCTACGACGCCTACACCTTCACACTACACGAACTGTGAAGACCTTTGCTTTCTGTATTTTTTTCTTGTTACGGACAAAGTACTCCATACACATTTCCACTTTTATTCTAAAAGTAGAATAAATCACAGCCGCACTCATCTCCAATATTATAAAATACGAAAATGGATTTCATTTCACTTTTTGTACACAATACATTACATATAATACAATTCTCTTACTTATTTTATATTATAAATGTCTGTAATATATATATAAGTGTGTAAATGGTCTCAATAAGTCGTGAGCGTGATAAGAAGTTTATTTTATGAAAGCACATTAACATATATCTGCTGACACATATATATTTATGGTACATACACAGAAAGTACATTAGACATTTATAAATATTGTTCTATGTACCGTCAACAAAATTAATGACGTCTTATTTGTATGTACAATGTATTAATTACATATCATTAGACTAAAAATGAGTGAAATCAATATTTTATGCGTTCATTTATGAAAATGCGCGTGAAAATCACGTACATGCGATTGCGTTCTTGTATTCATATAGGAACATATTCACAAGTCTCGGCAAAGTGAAAGAATTTGGCTACGAGATGACTTGTACCATTTCAACAGATCCAATATTGATTGGATTATTAAAAAAAAAAAAAAATTTATATATATATATATATATATATGTATATATATGAAATTTTCTCATTCATCTTACCTGACACTGTTGTGGACCGTGACGGCTAGGCGAAGATAGTTTTGAACGGTTTTTTTTCAATATTTTCGGTGGATTTGTTAATGAAACAGGAACTTTGCGATTACAGGGAATGGGGGCACAACGTACACTTATATTGCCACTGCTGCTATTGCTGCTACTAGTTATACTAAAACAACTATCGTTACTGTTTGAACTGTAGTTACTGTTACTGCTGCAATTGCTGTTGCTATTGCTGCATGACAAATTACTGTTGCTACTGCTTTGAAATTGTTGAAAGGTACTGCTAGCGTTATTATTATTATTGCTGCTGCTGTTGCTGTTGCTGTTGCTGTTGCTGTTGCCGTTACTCGAACTGCTATTGCTCATTATTTGAGCCAATGACGTAATATTGGTGGTATTATTGCAACTGCTACTGCGTATCAAGCAATTTTTAATGTAACTGTTAGTCTTGTTGGTGGTATTTGTTGAAATGGATACAGTTTGAACAGCGGCCGCTATCGTACATTTAGGGGAATCTTTTTGGGTTTGTGAACTGTGCGCTACGTTTGAGGTACGACGACTAATGGTTACACGACTTTTTAAATTATTCGCACAGTTTTTAATGTTGTTAATGCAATTATTATTGGTATTCGCAACATTGTTATTTTGATTATTATTAATATGATTGGTATTGATATTATTGGGATTGCTATCACTGTTAGTTGTCGTTCCTGTTGCTGTTGCTGTTGCTGTTGTTGTTGATGTTGGTGTTGGTGTTGGTGTTGCCGCTCCTGTTGTTACTATTGTGTTTAATTTATTTATTTGCACTTTGCTATTGCAATCATTACTATTGCTACGATAATGATTGTTATTATTATTTAGGGCTATATTTGAACAAAAATGCATATTTATGGATTAATTTTTCATTCAATCATTTGTTTTTATTTCACTGTTTTTTTTTTTTCAAATTTTACTTACAAGCCGTTTGCAAAGTGCCCAATACATCAGCCAACATTTCCGGATCCGGATAACCAATAGTTAACGCATTATCCAAACTGTTGACTGCATTTGAAGCGTTTGATGCGACTGTCGACACTGATTGATTGGAATCGGACGAAGGCGAGGACGATGAATTGGCATCGCGTAATTTTAAAGTAACCGAACCTTCCGTGCCCACTGAAGCACTGCACATGAGCACACGCGGCGTCGCAGGGAGACCAGCTAACGGCAGGTGTATACTTTTCGGTACCTAAAATATAACATTTTTATTCCATTTCTTCCATACAAAATTACATTCGAACACATCTAACGCCACGAAAATCACATAAACGCGCACCGCAATCATTTCGTGTTAGCTCACATACATGTCGGCGAAAAATTTCATGTTCCTGTCAAATTGCAATAAGTAAATGCCTTATGCTCATATATATATATATATATATATATAGATATATATATATAAACATTGACACTTGTGCACAATTTGTTCATTTATATTTTCAATAATTTTCTTAATAAACTAAAGAAAAAAATTTTTTATAATACATTTTTAAAGAAAAAAACACTCTGAAATAATGAAATAAAATTAAATTAGTGATAGACGAGCAAAACAAGACATGAAAAAATAAAAAGTGATTACCAAAATTATTCATCATTACGATGCAATTTGTTGAACGTTTCGTTCATTGTGACTGACATATGACATACGAAGAACATTAGTTACGTTCCAAAACAGTTTGCCTGCCTATCGTAACGTACTATAATTTCTTTTCCCCAATATTTGTAAAAATTTTAAAGTATTAAGTAAAGAGAAAGAGTAATGTAACTAACTCTCTGAAATCTGAAGAACTTTTTTAATATCTCTCTCAGAGGAGATGAAGTTGGTTGCGTTGCGTTGCCAGAGCAAGGCCATATTTATAGTCTTTACAGTTTGTGATTTTCTTTGAAATTTTTCCATACAATGTTTACCTAATAGCTGGCAGATATACATTATCGAAGGATCAGGGGTGTATTCATTTTGGTATCCCAGCAGGAAGCCTCAGATACTTCATAAAGCGTATATATATATATATATATATATATTCTTGATCAGCAACAAATTCTAAACCGACTTAAGTATGTCCGTTTGTCCGCTTGCATGTAGCAAAGTTCCTGCTGATTACAAACATACTGAAATTGATTTCAGATTTGGCATAAAGATTGCAAATTCTTGTACACGGGCTGGTCTTGAAATTGAGCCGAATCGGTCAAAAGACATGACCAACATAACATGAAACCATCTGTGCTTTCCTCATTACTTATAAACGATAATAGATGCAATGGAAAAAATTGGCATCTATGGATGTTCTTACAGCACCTGTACAAAAGTGAAGGAGTGACAAACACGCCCCCTCAATACTATAGAATATCAAAATTTCATATTTTTATCAAAAAGTTTGCAGCACCAAGAAAAAAGTTTAAGAAACCATATCAGTGCTAAGTCATGATGGATATAAGAGACTCGATCCGGCTTTAATTTTCTTACTTGTTATATATTTTCTAACTTAACGCAATAATAAGTCATTCATCGCTTCACCACGTGTGTAGAATGAATATGTTATTTCTTTCATATTCGGTATTGTAGCACACGTTCATAAACAGTGTTTGCTTAGACTTACACTCAGTTATTTATAAAAAAAAACATTTATTTGTTTGTTTATCACATATGCGGAGCTTGAATTGAATTGAATTCTATTTATTTTTTTTTTTTCTTAATACATACACTACCAATATATATATATATATATATATATACACATCTCCTACGAACGCAAAATATATAATACAAGCAAATGACCTATGACGTCCATTAAAATGATATTTTGTGCAAGAATTAATTCTGTTTTTCTATTATTTTCATATATTCATCTTAGGAGGGCCTTGAACACCAGCCGTTTCAAATAACAATGTACGGTATAAATAAATAAATAACAAAGCACCGGCATCTGTTGTAAGGTGCGTTTCTTTATTCACATGGGAGCATGTTTCGATCAGTACATAAAGCAGTAGCTGCCGACTAAAAAAACACACACATGCCCAATTCTCATCAATAGATGAAGGGCTGTACGTTCGCATATAAATGGAAATGACTAAATCAAGTCAAAATGTTATATTAGTCAGAAATCTGTATATGTTTCTATTACAAATGCTGAAATATACTCAAAGCACTCCATGCATTTGGGAGTTACAGCGAATCGTTTTTTGACGTAAGAGCGCAAAGCAAAACAATGACAGCAGCGTCAGTTTCATCTGTATGATTTGGAAAAGATTACACACTGTCAGAAGGTTAGAACACTAGGGTTCAAGTTCCTACATTTTCCTGAATTGTTCAATTGGTTTATTTGCCCCATTTTTCCTTTTCGATCGGAAACGCATTCAGCGTAACATTGTTGTGTTTTTTGTATGTGTAAAATTTCTATGTGTTACAAAAAGACAAAACAAAAGAGAAAAAACGTTCCCTTTTTAATTATTGTTCGAATTTTCATTTACAGCAAAATGAAAAAAAAAAAAAGAAAAATTTCAATATTCAAACAAACAGAAGAAAAATCAATGTATTTGCAGTTAAATATAGGTATAAACAACAAATGCTTTATACACGACTATGTACAGGTAGGTATATAACAAATTTACTAATGACATTGACATTTGATTGACGGGAGAATCATTCACAAATTCTAATGAATAACAATCCGTCTTTGACGTAGGTAGTTTTGTGTGTGTGTGTGTGTGTGTGTGTGTAAAAGCGCGTTTTTTTTTTTTTTTACCAACCAGACAATTTCTCTACAGGCAGTCTATGAGGAACTATATTACCTATGTATAAACTTTATAAGATACATTTTTTTTTTGGCTGAAAAATGCATTAATCATTTCAATAATCCAAATTCCGGCTTGCAATAAAAAATTCCAAACATTTCAGATATCGCTGAATATATCTACATTTCGATTTTCAAAGGGCCGCTCATCTCTAGTCCATTTAACTCAGGCCATACGCATTTCAGCTATGGCATTCTATGAAGGATAGCAAAGAGAAAAAAAAAAGGAGTATCGTACGCACTTACGCTTACAATCAGTAAAATAATAAAAAGCAAAATCAATCGGATGCAAACATAAACTAGAAAAGATAAAGTTTGGAGATAAAGAAACATTTGCCGTTTGGCTAAATAAATATCTAGTGCTCACTTAATAACTTCCATTCGTTGCTAAACTTGAGAAAATGTTTACGTAGCATAGTGTAAAGGAAAAATCATACCGACAATAATACTTCTACAGAGACCCATGTCCTATTCAAAATTCAGAAGTCGATTTTAATCAAACATTTATTATTACCGTGGAAGCTCATATATAAATAAAATACTTAAAATATTAATAATTTATAATAAATAAAAAGTATTTATTTTTACTTTTTTTTATAAAAATATTTTATCTTTGCGCATTTAATTGGACACTAAAGCATGCACTAAGGCGCATAAAGCGCATTTGCATATCAAATTTTTCAAAATGTTTTCTCGCATAGTTGAGTTTCGCAAAACATTGACGAAGAAGAAGAGGAGGAGGAGAATATAAAAACAAATTTTTAAAAATTTAAAATAAAATGAAAAATAAACCATTTTAACATTATGCCCTAAATTCATTTGATGCATGTACAGGAATAATAATAACACCGAGAGGTGAGAGAGGAGAATGAAGCGAGGCATCTTGCCAAACAGCACTTAAATTGCTCGAACGCACTCATACTTTCTCATTGTGGTGAGACAAACATTTTCATATATTTATGTATACATAAATATATATATATATATGTATATACATATATATGTATACGTATTCAGACAGAAGCGGTTACACGAGAGGCCTATTTATCTCTCTACACTTGCATATACACATTCTATATATAAATGTTATTCTATTTAGTAAATTTTTAAATTAAAAAAATGTTTGTATGAAAATGTTTTTTTTAATTCAACATCATACAATTTGCCCCTTTTTATAATTGTTATTAACTGTTTGCCTTCCCTTCGGCAACTATAATGCTTCATACGCATGTTATGCTGGAAGGTAGGAAAAGATGATCATAACAAATATGGGGGAAATGTGACAAGTTCATATTCAAGTTCAGAAAGCAATCATAAGATAAACGCTTTAAATTACATTTCCGAAAACTCGTAATCGCTTTTGCAGGTGCATGCAAATTGCTCCTTAGTAGATGAAGTGACCTATTAGCGGAGTGATCTGAATGATTGTTATCGCATTACAAGGTGACGAAAATATTTGCTATAATTCATTCAAAATGTTCTTTTCTTTTTTTTAAATTAATAGCATATGCGAAATGCGAAAGTGAAAAACAATAAACTCGCCGTTGGCTCAAGATGGCAACGACAAAGTGATGACCGCATAATGGACGAATCAGCATTGGTCTCGTCAAGTTCATGTATAATCATATCGTTCTGTTTACCCATATATTTCTTATGCACCGAGCATCTGTTTTTTTTTTTTTTGTTTTTGCCTTTGATCGAGTAGAACAAGTACTTATTGAACGGAGCCAAATGGACTCAAATTCTCACATATATATATTACACAAATAGAATAAGTGACTCCTAACAACCAGTTTTAGGTATAAAATTTTCATAGGAGCCAAAATGATTGTAAAATTATATTCGTATTTAAACTATCATAATTAAAACAAAAAAAATTCATCACTTTGTAGTTTAAAATATAATAATTAAAACAAAAAAAAAATTCATCACTCTGTAGTTGAATGAATCACTCAGCGCACAAAACATTTCATTCCTAAAATGTTCAATATTTCATTTATCGCATTATGATAAACCTCACTGCGTTGGTATTCTCTCTAAAATTAAATCTTACTTTATTGGCAAGAAGAAATAGTTCTTTTCAACATATATTTATAAAATTTTAATAGTTTGCATTAAGAGATGAAAATGACGGTAATAAATTATTTTAATCACAATGTGACAATCTTCGGATTTACTATAAACGCTTGCGTAACTGCACTAGATAGTCATGAACATAAAATTAGAATAAATGTTCTTCTATGTATTATTCTCTTAATTGAATTTAATTTCTTTCGAAAAATTGCACTTAGGGGCAAATATTTGTAATAATAGTTTCCTTTGTTTTACAATTTTTATATGAAAATTGTAAATGAAAATATTTATTATTATATTAGGCAAGCAACGCCGTTGCATTTGC